CACAAGTTATTAAATATGAAAATATTTTAATAAAAATAAATTTTTTTTTTGAGTGCCTGGATATTTTCTTCAGGGGAATGTAAGTATTTTTGAACATATTGATTTATTATTTTATCATATTATTTTCTAAATAAAAAAATAAGTAATTTTAAACTTAAGAATAGTTAGAATAGTTGTAAAAAAATTAAATATCTTTAATATTTATCAATTTTTTTATATATAAAATTTACTATAATGGATTTTTCTAATATATGATTAATATATATTTTAATATATTAAAAAATTTCTATAAAAGTTAATTTTATATTACTAACTTTTAGATATAAACTTAAAAAAAGAATTTTTAATATCTTATATATTTGTTTTAATAGAATAATACTTGATTATATTTATTTTATTAAGATAAAATCTCTAACTATTTAATATTATAAACAAGAAAATTATGCTATTTTATTATATAGTAATATCAAAATTAGGTTTAAGATAATCCTTTTTTATTACCTTATAATAATTATAAATGTATTATAAAGAATAGTAAAATAATAAATTTTATTTACAAATATTCTAATCTTATCAATAATTTCTATTTTTAATTGTATTTTATAATTAATTATAATATTTAAAATATATGTTATATATTAATAATATTAAAATTTCTTATTATTTTAAGTTTTTTCAAATTTATTTATCATATTTTTATTACAAAGAACCATTATTATTCATAATAAAAAAAAGAATTTTTCTATTATTCATTTATTAATTAAAGAAGCTTTTTCTTTATTTTAATACTAGTATGATGATATTTAAAATGAATTAAATTAAAAAGATAATATTATATATTCTATTTATCATTAATATAATAAATAGTTACTTTCAAATAAGTTTGATTTGTAATTAAAATTCAGATATTAATAGAAGAAATACTTTTATTAAAAGCTTTTTAAGTTTATCTACAACTAAAGAACAATAATTTGTGAATTTATTAATTATATATTTTTGCAAATATTGATGTAATAGTAAAATATATCTTTAATTTAAAATATTATATAACTTTTAACTAAGAACTTTTACAATAAAAAATAGTATTTGTGATCTAATAATAAAATCAGATTTAAAATAAATCAGAAATAAATTTATTAATGTAATAATATTTAAGTAAATCAAAAAAAATTTATCAATGCAATAAGATAAAATAAATTATAAATAATACTTTAATTATATATTAAATGAGACTTAAAATAAATCAAAAACAATTTATCAATACATTAAATTAAAATGAACTTAAAATAAATCAAAAACAACTTATTAATATATTAAATCAAAATGATTTTAAAATAAATCAGAAATAATACTTTTATTATACATTTAATCAAATAAGATTTAAAGAAGATCAAAAATAATTTATTAATATATTAAATTAAAATAAATAAAATAATACTTTTATTATATATAAGATTTAAAATAAATCAGAAATAATTATCAAATATTAAATTAAAATAAATTTATCAAAAATAGTTATAAAAAAGAAAATTTGTTTAATTGTTTAATAAATACTTATAAAAAAAAAAAAAATAGTTTAATAATTTATTATAATATAAATAAAATTATTCATATAAATAACTCTATATTAGTATATTTTCTAAATATTTAATAAAGAAATGTTGAATTATGGAATACTGATTTTTATCTAGAAAGTCATTATTTTATAATACTGTTCATCATATTTTACATTAATTTATATCAGTAATTATTGAATTTTAACCAGATAAAATGCAAAAGAATATTTGACTATTAATCTAATTAATAAAAAAATATTATTTTTAAAAATATAATTAAATAAATTAAATATTTTTTAATATAAGTTTATGACTAAAATAAGATCTTCAATTACAAGAATATTACATTAAGATAACTGTATTATATATTTTAGAAATAATTTTCCTAAATAATATAAGTGTAATCATATATACTTTAGCTATTTTAATATTAGTAAACTTAGTAGATATCACATCAATTAACATGATGAGATTCTAATCATCATAATCAGAAGTCCTACTAAATATAAAATATCAATTATATTTCCTTTTGAATTTTATTATTTTAATATATTTTAGCTAATTTTAGGTTTATTTATTATATGTTTGATTTTATAATAATAAGGTAATAAAATTTATCTATTTTTATAATTATAGTCATCAGAGTATCAGTTTATAAATAATTTCAAAATTATATTATAAATAAAATTTTCAATTATATAATAATATTATTTAATAAATAAGATTATTAATTTAAAAGATAAATTTTAATAAAACTTTATATAAGTTACTATGCATATAAAATTATTCTTAAAGTATTGTAAATATAAAATAAATAAAATAAATAATATATACAGTTTAAATAAAGTATAAAAATTGTAATAGAAAAATAATACTTTATATAATATCTTTTAGATTAATAAGGGAAATATTAATTAGATTATTAAAAAATAATAATCAAATAAAAATATGTAAATTAAAATAAAAAAGATTTTTAGTAGTATTGTATAGTTATTAGAAAAATAGTAAAAGTTTTATAAAATAAAGAATCATAATATCAGAATAATTTAACTTAATATTATATAATCTGTATTTTTAATGTATTTTTTTTTAATATTTAAATTAATAATTTATATAAATTAATCAGATATTTCCTTAATAATCTTTATATATAGAATAGTATTAATTTTTAATTATAATTAATTCTCTTTAAATATATTCTCTCTAAATACATATATTATATATTTTTCTCTCCAAATGCAAGTACTCATTCAATTTTAAGTATATAAAAATTATATTAAAAAATTTCTCTTTAAATATACATCTTCTTTAAATGCATACTTTTTAAAATTTTCATTATAGTCTAAGTAAATGCATTTAGAAAAAATTAGCTATATTTTAAAAAGTATACTTGATTAAATTTTTATGATAAAATTATATTAATATAAATTTTTCTAAAAATTGATCTTTAATATATGTAAAAGTGTTTATTAGAAGATTTCATTTTTCATATAAAGTATTATTGAGTTGTTCAAGTATTTTGCTATAAAAATGTGGACGTATTACAAGTGATGGAGTATAAATTTTTTCCAAATTTTCTCTTTTAACAATAATTATATTTTTGTTATTTAATATATCATGATTAAGCTTTCCTATATTTCTCCAAACTATAAAAATTAAATAAATATCATCTTCAGTCATTTTAAGTTTTCCTACAGCAGACCTATCATAAAATATTCCATCTTCCCATGAATTAGATTCCAGTCTAAATCTATTACGTAAATATTTAACATGCATAAGATATTTATTATGCATAAGCTTATATTTATCCAATATTTCGTTACTTTCTAATAGTGTTTTCTTATTTGGATAAGAAAACCTACACTCAATATTTATAACAATGTAACCAGATCTATCAGCTTTTCTTTCAAATATTACCATATCAAAACCGCTATTATTTGATTTTTTAGGAACAAATATATAATCCATAAGATTCTCAAAAGATTTTTTGGATGAATCATATATTTTATCATTTGGAGGAAATTCTATTTCATTGTGACAAAATGCAATTGTTTTTCGTTGCAATTGTATTTTAATTTCTTCCTTGTGTAAACCATAAATTTTATGAAGACTTATAACCTTTCCATTTTTTGAAGTGCACGATAAAGCAACTCCCAATTAGTATGAAACATTTCAAATGGTTTGCCATCCAATACTTCATTATCAAAAGAAGATTCTGTAGTCAATAAGCGTCGTAATATGTTAGCAACAATCCCTGCATCTTCACTTGTGTTGTCTTTGTTGGATATGCAAAAATATTGAAGAGCAATTGGAGACAAAGTTGGGATAACCTTGAAAATTTCTACATTTTTGGTAAGTGAATTTATATATATTCCGGAAGAAATAAGACCTCTTAAAGTTGATTTGCCTGTAATAGTCTCTATTTCATTTGTTAAGGATACTTCATTTCCTAATAGTGCTATCTTAACTATAGGAAGGGAAATTCTACCTAATAATTGGTCAAGATAACCTGCCAAACGTTCAATAAGAGAACTGTAAACATCAATATTCAAAGCTGTATCATCGGCTTTCAAAACTTTATAAAAGTACTCTAGGGTTCTTGGATGTCCGTTACAATCAGCGATACATTTGTTAATAACAAAAAGTCTTTTTTCATCTAAACCTTTTGTTAGTGTACAAAATAAATTTGCTGATTCTGAGAGAACAAGCCTTCTTAGTGATATCCAATGAACCGGTCTTTGTGAGTCTGTTTGGGTATTCCATACATTTAGTGTATCAAGAGTAGACACGACAAAATAGAATTTGTTGACTGATTTTGAAAAGTCCCGGTAAGGAATGTAGAGTTCGTCTAGTAATTTTTTAAGATTTATGAGATCCTCATGGCCATTTTGTAAAACTCTCATAGTCTCATCAATACATAAAAGTACTGATTTACCCGAATGATAAATGATACTATCAATTGCCGTATAAGTGTCCAATGAATCAAAATATTCTCTAAATTTCTTGCAAAAAGCACCATAGGTTAACTTATTCTCATCGAAAAAGTAGCTCCATAAAATTCGCATGATTAATCCTTTTTGAATGCCATCCATATTACCATCAGATGAACTTCCGTTATATGTAATACAAATGCTGATTGAATTACGAATCATATTTATAACTTCTTTGACTATTATATCCTGATGAGGATATTTATTTTCTAAATAATGACTAATCATATTAATATCTTCACCTTTCAAACTAGCTAACTCGTCAAAAAAGAATGATTTTCCCCCTCCTGGAGCTGATTGAAATGCGAAAAGAGGATGTGATTGTTTATCAGCAAGACTTTTTGCGCTACTAAGATTACAATACCGGTCATAAATGTAATCATATGTTTGACATAATGCATCATCTCGACCTTCTCTTTTGAAAGCACATTTATTATCGCACAGTTGGTATGGTTTGTGAAATCAGTCTTGATCAATTTTTTATTCTCATATTCCTCCGTAAAAAACCTTACTATTGATTCAGGAGAACTAAGGTCTTTCAGATTTATGAAAATAAAAAAAAAAAATACAAAATTGTTAGTATAACATATTGCAATCATTAGGCAAGAATACGAAAATGTATATAGTTTATTCTCATCTCAATACGATGTAATATATATATATTACCTATTAGTTTCTCTTTTTTCGTTATATTTGCCTCGTCTAAGTCCGAACCTCCGCGTTTTCTTTTGCCTAATCGAAAAAAAAAAAAAAATATATATAGGATGTTTGATACCGCAAATTTCTCGTTTATATATATTTTTTTTACACAATTCGTTCATTACCTCTTTCTTCAGCTAAATCTTTTTCCAAAAATATAACATGATCGCCCCATTTCTCCATTGCCGCCTCCAAATTTGCCTTTTCTTTCTCCAAGTCGTCTCTTTCCGCCTCTAAATCTTTTTCATCCAACTTCAAATTTTTTTTCTTTACTTCATTTTTTTCATTTCTTATTTTTCTACTCAACTCTCTCAGCTCCTTCTTCAAATCGTACAACCTATTCAACTTACTATTTGCTCGTTCAAAAATTTCTCTTGCCAATTTTAATTGTTCTTCAAGTGTTGCCATTTTGAGATTTTTTCAAAAATTTCAAAAAAATCGAGTCCATAAATCTGCTGCGGTAACAAACAATAATCTTAATCTTTCGAGAGTATTCGATGAACAGTATATGACCAAAAAAAAAAATGTCGACTGCCGAAGGACGTTATAAACAAGCTAATGAAGAACGATTATGACGAAGCTTTAAACTTTATAATGAAAGCTATTGAATTAGACGCGACAAATGCTGAATATTTTTTGAAAAGGTTAATATTGAAATATATTTTAAACTATTAATTTTATTTATTCGCTTAAAGAATTTAATTTAATAAAGGTCCACGTATCAACTTGGATCATGCCGAAAAATCGTTCAATTTAGTTTGAAGGAAATAAAGAAAAATTGGTCAAAGCAAAAACCTTTGGTGAGAAAAGGGTAAAGCCGTTATAAGTGTAAATGCGGTTTTTATAAAGATTCTGCCAGGGATCATTTGAATCTTCTAAGGAATATGAAAAATTATGATCACTTGTTAAAAAAGGCTGAAGCAAAGTAAAATTTTTTATAAAAAAAATATAATCTTTTTCTTTTCAATATTAAATACTTTTTTTTTTTTTTAAATTATTTAATGGATAAAGTTGCCGTCAACCTCAAATTTGCGTAAAATCATGTGCGCGTTACAATTGAGTGCGTGAAAAAAAAATCAGCGATCATTTCGTCATTTTATAAAAAAAAAAATACTACCATACGGTTGCATAAATTGTAATACATCAAGGTAAATAATTTATAGATACATACACCAACACGCTACTTTAAAAATCAAACCCAATTCTTTATAATTTTAAAATTAATATGACCTTTTCTGTGTCCGAAATGAATAACATCTCTCATTAGTGATGTTATTAAAAATAAATCTTATTATTGACCTTTTGTTTTTGGGGCGTACTGTGTTCCTGTTCTTTATACTTTTAAACCGAGAAATAATAATGGATAATAATTTCTGCAAAAACAGGACAGCTAGTGTAAAATCAAAACTTTATAGATCGTTTGTATGATAATAACCTTACTTGAAGCATTATACGTGAAATTTTAAGAATAAATTCGAGTTCTTCATATTTTGTTGGGATATAAAGATCCGCTAAATTGACAATCATCATAACACGTAAGAAAAATATGACGACAAAAACCTGGCATCAAAAGTTTGTTGCTAGCATGAAGGACTGGATTTGATAACATTCCGCAACTCTCATCAGATATTGACTCAATTAAATTTCGATGCATATCTCTTAAGGTCTTTTGTACTTTAAAAGTACTCGAAAGAATATTTGACGTATCTTCACATTTGGAACCAGTTCTCTCGCAAAGGGAAAACTCACGACCTCAGCACAATTCTTTCTTTAAATCATGTTTCTGAAAATTGATGTTAGCAAATACACTAATAATTGTCATTGAAAACCTTTAGAATTTTCCATACTGTAAACATCCAATCAAGATGATATCCTTCGATACTAGCTCACCACTAGGAAAATCGTAAGCATTGTTACCGATAATAACAAATAATATTAAAAAAAAATAAACTTACAAATAACTATCTAATATAGTATCAAAACAAGAAAATATGTGTCTTTTCATAAACATATCAATGTCTCGTTCAGAATTTTGTTGCTGAGGGATTCCTTTTTGCGATCATTTCGCATTTGATTGAAATTATATATGATGTAAAACTAATTAAACTGCATGTGTATTTAATACTAAACTATTGAATGAACTTACGTAAATCTAATTAAATCGGAAATGAATGCAACATCGGCATTCGTATGATCTTTGGTAGATAATGGGATTTCTTCATGAAAGTTTTTATCATCATTTTCAAAAGTATCTTTATCCTCAAAGAGGTCATCATCAGATTCTTCTGGTGGTTTTTCTTAATGTTATTTAATATTTTTTTCTTTGCAGCTCAAGGATTGTGTCGTGTGTACCATTGGGCCTTACAATTTCACCAATGATGCGAAGTTGATTTCCATCAAGCTTGAAAACATAAAATTAAAAATATTTCAAATAAAAATCAAAATACTTTAATCTTCATAATATACGTTTGCTAAAGAATATAGATATCTCTGCCATATTCCAAATTTTTAAAAGCTGAAATTGTTGTATTTAATTCTGATAATTCATTTTCTGATAAAAGATTCGTGATTCTTTGATCAAATAAATCAATGATTTTCCAAAGATTGGACTAAAAAAATTTTTAGAATCTGGATACCACAAATAAAGAAAAAAATCCGCATTATAAAACATTTATTTTAATGACAATTCATATCGAAAATTTTTTTATTATTATTAGAAAACATTGCAGAAGTTAACAATTGTTGTTCCTGTGCTATTTTATTTAGCCAATTTGGTTTTAGTTTACTGAATTCCCACTCGAACGGAGGTTCTTCAATCTGCGAATAAATCTAAAAGGTTCATGGGTCAATTTGAAAAACACGTTTTCACACTAAAAATTAAAATTGAATTCGTAGCTCGTCTTGTACACGATAAATCCTAGTAATAAAGATGAGTTTAGAAATAAGGTTGTGTCCATACCCAATAATATATCAAACAGTGTACTAAATTAATGCACCTCATGCTAACTACGTTTTTCATTTGACGGGCCTTCTTTGTTGTCATTGTATTCGTTACAAATAAAGATGATGCTGCAACTAATTGCAATGCTATCTTTAGTTACAAAATAGCTTAAACTTGGCATGACATAGATTAATTAAATTACAGTAAGAATAGTAAGATTTCATAGATATTAATTGGGTAATGCTTAATAGTTGAAATCTCATTGATAGATTTTAACTTTATACGATTAAATCAAGCAACTCAACACGTGAGAATATGGGAAAAGAACAGGTTCCTTTTGCAGTATGTACTGGTACATTAACTTCTTTGAAAAAACTTTTTGATTTTTTGCGTGAGATTTAACTATAAGAATTGCATAATTAACTAAAATTTCATGATGCGTAATTTCAGTACCTCAATCAACCAAGGGACCAAAAGTTCTAAACCAACCGGGATAAACATTTCCAAATTATGCAACCAAATCTTTTTTGGACTGTAGTTGCAATGTAATCTTCATAAAATTCTTTAGAAGATTTATACTATATACTCTTAAATCTGAAGTTCTAAATTGCGTGCATAAGTATGAGTTCACAAATAACGTTTTGTTTTATTTTTCTCAGAAATTAACAGACTGAGAAGAGGAATGCCTGAGTAGAGATTTTTTAGCTAATTCATTACAAATAGTTTGTATAGATCTGTTTGTTTTATTTGAATAATTTAATATATTTAATGTATTTTAGAGAGGTTTGATGACAGTTGTTTTATTTCTAACCACTAAACACTTAAGATGTTTGTCCTGTTAGAAGTTTTTTTAGCTCATATGACTCCTATATATACTGAACAGAGGAACGAATGTAACTAACAACTGAGAAAATCTTGCTATTTATATGTCTTTGCTGCAATAATTCCTCCTTTTTGACTTTCACTAAATTTTTTTCTAAGACACATCATGCGGCAAATTTTTTCACCCTACTTAATTGCTTAAATATTTGATTTGAGTTCAATTGAGTAGTTTAAGTAAGAAACCTTTATCCTAGCAGAGTTTTCATGAAAAACATAGCAAATGATAATTTTTGGCTTTTTGTGATCCGTTAAATATAGTTGCGTCTGGCAGAGGTAAAATGACGCGCTTATTTTGCATGTTAATTGGGTAGCCAATACCCCCTGTATATATTTATAACTTCGAAATTTAGTATTTTATATTATTTATTATATTGTAAAACATCCGTTAAATAGAAAAATAGATAATAAGTTTATTGAAAGACAGTTATTACATAATATAATTGTTAAAAGATCATATACAGTGACTACCGTAGAGCACTGAGTTCCCCCCCAATGCAACATACCCTCCTAAAGGTTTTGAATCGAACATTTGTAAAAGGCCCCATACTTTATATGTATAAAATTGGTAAAATACCCAGGGTGGTTTAGTCAGTGCTCTACATTTTCGGTAAATGTATCCCACGTTCTCAAAATTTTTATTTCTTGAACCTAAAAATAATGGAGATTATAGAGAAGGTTCAAATAAGCCATTTCATCATCATTGCATCATCCATCACTGATGTTGGATAGAATTGATATAAAATTTATTAAATGTACTTTTTAGTTTAACATTAATAACAATTTTGCGAAATCACAACATAAGGTTCTTTTGCAACTCGGCCAACTGATCCAAGAGTTCCTGCTCTCAAGTGGTTCTCTCTCTCTCTTTCTTGAGAAAGAGAGAGAGAGAGAGAGAGAGAGGTTATACTGACAGTTTTTGGTAAAGATATAATAATATGAATATGGCTCTTTGGGAAAGTACTTCCTTATCTTCTTTGTTGCAAGGAGTTCATCTCGGTCATTTAGTAAGAGGTTGGCCAACTTGTCATCATTATCAGGTATTTCGACTTTACGGATTTTAAGACCTTTTGCAACTGGTGCAATTATTTTCTTCTTAATGACATCTTTTAACTCATCGCGCTCCATCCTGATTATCATCTCTTATTTGACGTTGCTTCTTTGTTACTCGTATCTCATTGTAATCAACATGGAAAAGGCACGTCTAATAAATCTCCTTTGATTAGACAGAAAAGGATAACATGTGATTGTTGCTTTATTTGGCGGTGATAGAATACAGTCGACCTCCTATATAGTTGGGACCAAAAAATTTTTGGTGTGACTATAAAAAGTGTTTTTGATGCGACTTTAGATGAGAATTTTTTTAATAAGATTATGGCCTAACAAAAATGTGCTTATTATGGAGGTGAGAGACGACTATATAGGGATCGACTGTATTTTCTTTTTCTTCGTATTTCTTTCTTTTTAAGTATGACGAATGCTCCTAGTAGTACAGCAAAGGAAAGTCGGTACAGTCAATATTCACTTGCCATGAGTTCAGTGGACCTTAATCAATGAACGCCGCAGGATGACACTTTTCCACACCAGCAGCGTAGAGTATAATTAGTGTACATGCCTGGACGCATCTTTCTCAAACTAGCGGTATAAAGAGCAGCACCCCATTACTCATGAATACTGACCTCCTGTATTGCGTAAGCCTTCTCAATTTTCTTCGTTCCTGGTTCATTCCTAAAGTATCGTGAGACAAGTTTCGTTGCATTTTGGTTCCTTTCGGTAAAGAAGTTGTCCCATATTTGTGTATTCCCCCAAAATGCGCAGGGTTTCTTCCAATATTCTAACATTGGACATAACATTAAATTTTTATTTTATAATTAATATATCGTAAAGACGAGTAAATACTTACCGCTATAGTGAACTTTAGATAAAATTTTTTTATTTAACTTCTCTTTCGACATAATGTTGAGAAGAACAAGATATTAGGGATCTTAAATAAACTTATATATGTCCAATTGGAAATCATATACAGTCAACTCTCTCTAGTGAAAATTTTAAAAAATGTGCGTGTACATTTAAAGAGAAAATTTCTATATTTCTATATGCTTGGGACTGAACGAGAGCATGTATTTAGAGAGAAAATATATAGTGTGAGCATTTAGAGAGGGTGCTTTTAGAGAGAGGTCCAGGGAAAAATTTAGCACACGAAATTTGAAGACGCGTCTGATTTAAATCGTTTTTATACGAGATGAAATATTGTTGTACAGATCTATTTTTAGTATTTTACTAACGTGATCTTTCGTAAGGAACATTTATTATTTAAATGTTGGTGATAAACTTTATTAAATACATTATAAAAATCAGATTGAGGTAATAAAAGTATACAAATATTAACTTGAATTTATTGAATTTCAATCAAATACAATTTTATTAATTCATTTTACTAGATATTAAAACTTTATATTTCTTTATAACGTGCAAAGAAAACGGGGCATCCTATAGAATAAGATCCAGATAATTTTTATACTTTAATTGGAAAACAGGAATCAAATCTACAAGGTAGCTGTTAGATTTTATTACCTTCTTGCTAAATTAGATAACAAGTTTGCTAATAATTTTAGTTGTATGTGAAACTTCAAGAGATGATACTGAAATTTTATCATTTAATAGGATTCTATATATGTAATAAAACCGTTGAAAAATTTAAACAAAAAATATTAATAAATCATCCTAAAAAATTAATAAATATTTTACTGTTTATATAAGTTATTTGAAAAAATAATATTTTAATAAAAAATTTAATTTTTTATCTTTTATTTAACTTTAAAACCAATAATCTTTATAATTTAATATTGATGATTTTTATATAATTTATTTTATGTATCAATCTATTATTTTAATTACTATTATTCTTTATAAATTTGATTCTGGTAACTTTTCTTAATATTTAAATCATATTACAGTGAAATCTTGATATACTATATAAAAAAATTAATAAATAAAATAAAAAACATAAATTAAAATTAATTTGATTATATTAATTTACATTACATTTAGTAAAAACTTATTTTATAATAAATTTTAATAGTAACTATTAAAAAAAATCAATGTTATTTATAAAGTTATCAAATTATATATATATTAATAGGTTTATAATTTTAATCTAAATATTATTAATTAAGTTTATTAAAACTTAAAATTTAGCAAATTATTTAAATAGTATGATCAGATGTAAGTAATGTAATACTAAATATCAAGAATATTAAGTATATTAATATATTAAAAATATTTAATATAATATATATAATAAATATAGTAAATATATTTAACATGTTTAATATAATTAATTTAATTAATATATTATATATATAGGTACTTTATAGTAGAAAAGAAAAAAACTACTAAAAAAAAATTTTTTACTTTATAAACTAAATATTATTTTTTTTAGTAAAATAAATTCAGATTTAATATCAACTTAATAAATTTTTTGGTGGTTTTCTTTTTTTCTACTGCAAAATGCCTATGTTATTATATAAGATTAATAATGTATATATAGTTTTTTTAAAATTAAGCTAAATAATGATCTAATAACTATATATAATTTTTTTTAGCTTTATGCTATTTTTTCTTGCTTAATGATTCTTTTCTTTTACATTTTTTTTTCTTTTCTACAATTCTATTTTTTATTTTTTATTATTTTTATTATTATTTATAAAACTCTATATAAATTTATATAAAAAAAAGCTATTACAATTGATTTAAAGTATTTGAATTAATAATATTACATAAATTGTTAGCTTAAGTTATTTAAAAATAAATTTTAAATTACTTAAACTAATACATTATTAAAAAAGAGTTTACCTTTAAATATTGTATTTAAAGGTAGAATATATGTCGATCATTTCTATTAGTAGATCATTACCTAAATGTCATATAATTTTTATAATAAATCAAATTTTTTGAGAAATGCTAAAAAGAAACTTTATACTATCATTAATAGCCTTTAAAGAGTTCTCATTATTTGCTTATATAAGAAAAGTTTATATTATTTAGTTGTTTTGTATTTAAAATAATAAAAATAAAATATAGCAATTTTTGAATGAACTGAGTTTTTTTGAATAAAAGAAATTAAATTAATGAAAATATGAAATAGTATATAAGTTACTTGAAAATATTTTAATTTTACTATATATATACATAATCTATATCTTTTATAAGTTGTTATATTTTGGTTAATATATAAAGATATTAGGAAGGATAAAAAGGCTGAAATAAAAAAAATTATTAAACTTTTTAATTTTTATTTATAGTCAAATTTTGAAAATGAAATAATAAAAAATATGTTAAAAAAAAAATGTTTTATTTTATAAAAAAATGTATTAAAGAATGAATTTTAACATAATCATTATAATTTATTATAATTATTTATTAGATAATACTTTTCAAATAGTACATGATACTTATTACCTAAGGTCTTAATAATTGACATGCTATTAAATAAGAAAATAGTAGTTGGGTAATAATTAATTATTCTGTTAGTCTTCATATTTTGAATTTACACAATAAAGTAAAAATATTTAATTTCTCTATAAAAGATATTTTAATAGCTAAAGAATAAATCAAAATATTGCTTATTTATTTTTTTGCAATCAAGAAGCTGAATAATTTTTAATATTATTATTACCTGAATATGTAGTTTTTACTATTGTAAGCAAAAAATAGTTTAAGTTTTTAATTCTAGAGAATGACAGTCAATTACTTTTCTTTGAAAGAAATTTAGTTCTGATATATCATATATTAAAAAAGAAGTATAAGGTATTGGATGACTTGCATTTTATTGTTTATTAAAAATATGGTCTTAATTCAAATATTTCCCTTCAATTATTTTTTTGTTTCTGTGATTCTCAAACTGTTATAAAACTTTATTTATAATATCCAACTATTTTTTAACAAGAAACTTTGATTATTTTTTCATTAGAAAATTCACATCAAATTAATACAAAGAAAAAAGAAGAAACATTGTATTATAGTTTAAAAAGAAGACAAAAAAAAAATTAATGATCTTTTACGTAAAAATAATGATAATGATAATTAAAATATTCTTTTTAAAAATTCAGGTTGAATCTGATAGAAAAATATTATTATCTAATAACACAAGTTCTTATATTAAAAAATATGAAATATATTCAAATAATCTACTTTTGAAATAAATCAATTAAAATATTAAAAAAGATTATTTTAATGAATAATAAAGCTAAAAGCAAAAAAACTAGAGATAAAGAAATCAAAAACAAAAAAGTAAAAGATACTGCTAAAATTCAAGAATTAGTAAAAAAGGAAATGAAAGAAAAAATTAAAATTAGTTATCTTTATGAGTACTTCACAATATATTTTTATTCTCCTTTCATTATCTTATTTTAACTGTCTTAATATTATTATATCAAATTGAAAAAATATTAAAATATTTTTTCATAGTACTCACCTTCGAATAATTCAATACTTAAGAATCCAGTAGCTACAAGAAGGTAAGTAATTAATTATTAGTATAATTGATCAATTAAAAAAAAATTAATATTAAATATAAAATATATTTTTTTTTATAGACTTACCTCCGAATGATCTAAGCTTTGAAGAATCTGATAGCTACAAGTAGGTAAGTAATTTAATTGTTAGTATAATTGATCGATTAAAAAAAAATTAATATTAAATATAAAAAATATATTTTTTTTCATAGACTTACCTCTGAACGATCCAAGCCTTGAAGAATTTGGTAGCTACAAGAAAGTAAGTAATTTAATGTTAGATTTTTTGATTGATTAAAAAATAAAAAAATATTAAAATATTTTTTTATAGCATTCACCTTCGAATGATTCAATATTTGAGAATCCGATAGCTATAAGAAGGTAAATGATTTAATTGTTAGTATAATTGATCGATTAAAAAAAATTAATATTAAATATAAAAAATATTTTTTTTTTATAGACTTACCTCCGAACGATCTATGTCTTGAAGAATCTGGTAACTACAAGTAGGTAAGTGATTTAATTGTTAGTATAATTGATCAATTAAATAAAATTAATATTAAAAATTACTTTTCACAGACTTACCTCTGAATGATCCATGTCTTGAAGAATCCAGTAACTACAAGTAGATAAGTGATTTAATTATTTAATTGATTGATAAAAAAAAAAAAAATAAAAAAATAAAAAATATTTTTTTTTTTAGGACTTATAATACCTCTGAACGATCTAATGCTTGAAGAATCTGGTAGCTACATGAAGGTAAGTAATTTAATTATTTGTTTAATTGATTAAAAAAAAAATATAAAAATATAAAAAATATCATAGGACTTACCTTTGAACGATCAATGCTTGAAGAATTCGGTAGTTACAAAGGGTAAGTGATTTTAGTTGTTAGTTACATTGATTGATTTAAAAAATAAAATTAAAAAATTTTTTTTCACATCAATCAACAGGTCCTATTATTTTATAAAATAGTCACATGACGTGCATTTAGAGATCAGATTGTCATATCAAAGGATCGAAAAATTTCTTACACGTGCAGAACTTAGAGTATGCATTTAATTTCTAAGTCCTAAGCTTAGGACTAGAATATTGTGTGCATTTAAAGAGTGTGTGCATTTATAGAGAATGCATTTAGAGAGGTCTGACTGTATGTGTAGATAACGATTTAGAAATTAATAAAACTATAACATGTATTTTTGCAGTTAATCACAATTAGAGTTCCGAATGAGTCAAATCAAGTTGAGTTTAAAGATCAACTCTATTTGACTCATTTTTTTCAAGTCAAGTTGAGTCAAATTTATTTTATAAAATCTTTCAACTCGATTTGATTCGAGTTATATAAATTTTAAACTTGACTCAATTTGACTCAACTCAAGTTTAACTCAACTTAATTTTGATTTGAATTTATTTGAGTTGAATTAAATTCAAATTAAGTT